TTAACTTCAACATTTAAAAAAGAAATCTTCCCGGGGGAGCACACATCTTGTGTCCATATCTTTCTGTTTTGGTGGTCATGCCACACCGTGCACGTGCATGTATGCACGAGTCATGGTGAGATATCTGGATTCAGAGGTTGCTTTTTCTTTACACAGCATGAAAGAAAGGCCAAATGAATGGGCTGTGATTTTAGTATTTTAAGCAGAGGTCAATAATTTGTACGGCCCCCGGAGGATGTTGTCAACATTGAAATGGCCCTTGAGAGGAAAAAGGTTCCCCACCCGTCCTAAACCATGTAATGATTTAAAAACTAGCAATAGTACTTTAAAATCAATTATTTGGCCGATTGGAAGCCAATGTAGAGGTTTCAGAACCGGACTGATGTGATCCACTCTTTTAATGTTAGTGAGGACACGTGCAGCAGTGTTCTGAATCAGCTGCAGCTTTCTGATGGATTTTTTTTGTCAGCCCTGTGAATACACTATTGCAGTAGTCGAGTCTACTAAAGATAAAAGCATGGACAAGCTTTTCTAAGTCCTGTTGTGACATTAGTTTTTTAATCCTCGATATGTTCTTCAGGCTGCACTCAGCATTGAATCAAAATGCACCATAGCTTTAAATCTTAATAAGTTTGTGAGGCGTTTTGCTGAACAAGATGGTAATCGCCACATTCAGCTGTTATAGGCATGCCAACTTGATGCTCTGCTCATGGATGACTCGAAGAGCATAATAAACTGTTGAGATGATGACCTTACGTGTGTAAATATATTTTTCTTCTTTGTGGGGGTCTGCCCCCAAAAAACTGTTTTAAGTCCTGAGAAAGTCAAATAAGACGTAAAACTACACTGCCCAGACAAAAAAAAGTAACCACTTTGATTTAACTAGGCCAGGAGGTAAGGACTTTCCACTGGATAATAGCTGCAGCGATGTATATGTTTTAGCTGAATACACGTTTTTTAACCCTAACTGATGCAGTTAGTCACTTCTTTAATGTTTGTTCTTTTTGATGTAATGTCAAGGTTGCAACTGTTTGCAATGAAGTTGTGGGGCGCTGAACTGTTCCTTTGATTCTTTTGATATATGATAGTAATTACTTGTCTTTCAAATTTGAAGGAGGGTGAGCAAGCATCTTCAGGAACATTCATCAACATTAACTCCTCCAAAAAATATAGTTTATTTAATAATAACACTGAATATGTGAATCATAACAGTGATTGACAGCTGGTAGGAATAATATGATTGTTAATAGTATCATATTAATTTAGACAAACATCAACGAGACAGTTAATTAATGTACTTATTGTAGCAGTCTGCATAGATTTGGTACCCCTGCTGGTCTAAGAGTGAGACAAACTCATTCAGTTAAAATTCATTAAATTAAGTCTGCCACCTTATATATTTATATTTAAGGCTTTACTGATGTGCCAGAATAATGTCACCAAATGTTATTGAGTTAAAATAAATATTGTGGCTTTCCAAGTTAACATTAATTGATATGACTACGATTAAATCAGCATATACTTCTGCCAGGGGATGCCACCCCTGAAATTATCCTGCCACCCGATGAATATTTGTCTAGATCCGCCCCTGGGACTGGGGTACGTTGTAATGTGATGTTACATGTTATAAGGAGAGTAGCGAGTGACGCAATTTATAGTTTGAATTTGTACGTCAACAAGTGTATGACTCAAAGGACTCGGGTTAATGGAGAGGGGAGACTCGTCACTCCCAGGTCATTACTAGGATCCGGGTTAATGCTGCTGCTTAACCCACAACTGACGATGTTCATATGCAGGTCTCATGAATGATAGAGTACCAGGAAGCGTTAACTATGCTAGCATGTTTGCTATGAATGTGGCCATCCAGCTATCATCAAGATAATAATATGTATACATTATATTATGACTGGTGGCAGTTGAGTTTCAGTCTACAGACGGTTGTTCTCTGTTGTTGATAACTTACAGGAAGTTTTTCATGGTGAGGCGAAATATCGATCCCTCCACAAAACGACCCTCCACTCCAGTCCCATCGGGCTGACTGTCGTTCGCTATGCTGTTGGAAGTCTGAGAGCCGACCACCTGACTTCGTCGCTGTTTTTTGCTGGTCGACGCCATGGTGAATTAAAAGAGAAGACTGTCAAGCGAACACAGCACCTGTGAGTTCGTTCTTATCCATTCACGCATTTGGGCGCGCTTCCTCCTAGTATTTACTGAAAGCTGGTTGGACTAAAGAGGTCACGTGGATACACGTCAATGTGACGCCGTCGTCCACGATAACGATCATTATCGCGAGATACAAGATACAATGCACAAAGTGAGTCAACCTCTGCATTTTTTGTTTCACTTTATTATTATAGTTTTCATATACATAATATATAATGGAATATAAAGACTCTCCCTAATACATCCATGGATACAGCATATAACCAACTCATATATGTCTTTACTAGTGGAAAAATTATGCAGTAATTGCATTGATGTAAACAAATAAATATTAAGATATAACATATTATTTGACAGGGCATAACATGTTTTGAGATTTAAGTCAGGAATAAGGATATTAAATAAGTTCTGTAGCATAAAATGCATAATCTATTCCTTCATTGTATATACACATTTGAACATGACAATAAATGAAACCGACATAGACGTGAGGTTATGTGTGTGTATGTAGTTTTTAAGACAATATGTAGGAGAAGTGTAGACAAGCGTGTTTTCATAATGTAGAAAACATTTTGTGGTTCAGTTTAATTGTATTGCATAAAACAGAGAGGTTTCAGGACTATACTACACGTATTGTGTAGTATAGTCCATGCATTGTGTACAAATCCATGCATTTGTTACTTCAAGGCTGGATTATTGTAACTCTTTATTATCAGGGTGTACCAAGAAGTCAGTCAAGTCGCTTCAGCTGATTCAAAATGCTGCAGCTCTTGTACTAACCAGAGTTAGGAAAAGGGACCACATTACTCCTGTTCTGGCTGCCTTACACTGGCTCCCTATAGAACACAGGATATAATTTAAAATTCTTATTCTCGCCTACAAAGCCCTTAATGGGCAGGCGCCATCTTACCTTAAATAACTCATTATACCCTACTGTCCTACTAGGCATTGCATTCCAATAATGCAGGGTTGTTGGTTGTTCCTAGAGTCTCTAAAAGTACAATGGGAGCCAGAGCCTTTTCTTATCAAGCTCCACATTTGTGGAATCAGCTTCCAGTTTGTGTTCGGGCGGCAGACACCCTATCCGTTTTTAAGAGTGCGCTTAAGACCTTCCTTTTTGATAAAGCTTATAGTTAGGGCTGATTAGATTCAACACATAGTTTTGCTGATATAGGCTTAGTTTGTCCGGGGACATCTTACTTCTTCCTTCTCTCTGTCTGTACCTGTGTACTCTCATGTTCCGATTAACCCAGCTTCCCCAAATGTCTGTCTTTTTGGTGTCTATATACGCCGGGAGCCGGAGTCATGGATGATCCTGTGGTCCTGTGTCCTGCATCGCGAGCCCTGGATGGATATCCTCGTGGATTCATCTTCCTATTATACACACATGCATTTCCAAACATTTGGACTACCTATGTTGCAAATGTATTATCTTTTCAATTTACACACGGCATCTATTGCACGTCTGTCCGTCCTGGGAGAGGGATCCCTCCTCTGTTGCTCTCCCTGAGGTTTCTCCCATTTTTCCCTTTAAACTGTGGGTTTTCTCCGGAAGTTTTTCCTTGTACGATGTGAGGGTCTAAGGACAGAGGGTGTCGTATTGTCATACTGATATTCTGAACAATCTGTGAAGACCACTGAGACAAATGTAACATTTGTGATATTGGGCTATATAAATAAACATTGATTGTTATATTTGGGGTGGATAAAATATTAGAAACAAGTCAGTCATAGGATTTATTGCAGGGCATTTTATCAAGAGTGAATGTATCTTACCCAGGTATACCTGATGAAACTGGCAACTGAGTGAAAACACACAGGACAATATATGTTTATTTGTTTCCCCACGTTTATTTTAAGACGATACTAACTGGTAGTAGACGTGGAATCAAATGAAGGATGTTAGGCTACATACTATAGACATATTTTTGCATAAATGCACTAACAATTGTTCAGCCAAAAGCTAATGGGGTGGGGATATTCAAAGTTCTTCATTTATAGTTTTCCTAGCAAACATTTCATCCTTGTGCTTTCCCAGTTTGGTTCTTGCTGATCTGCAGCAGAGGTATAGAAACACTAAAGCGGCACATGTCCTAAAATGAACTCAGTTACACAATTGCTTCCAAAAAGACGACAGGAGCTTCTTTGTGGCTTTATACAAATTGCTAAAGGAATCTCTTAACAGCCAGTATGGATAGGAGGAAAAACTGCTGCACCTACATTTAAATTCATTTGTGGGTAAGGCTTCAACAAAGAATTTGAAGAATGTTAACGTAAAGTGGAGCAAACGGTCAGCTACAATACTTGGTTTTTTAACTGGTTAGGTAAAACAAGTAAAGCTACTCTAATTTGAATCAACCCCTCCCAACTTCACGAGTGGGGGGAAATAACTGCATAACAAAACATGTTCTCCTTCCGTCTACCACTCATAATCACGAGGTACATTTAAATGTCTTCACCTCTTACATTTGAATACTCTAGCTCTACGTTTATCCCCAGTATTTCAGACTAGTACCTTCTAGTCTGAAATATGCTCAACGTTTGAAAGTCTGTTAACGCAACACCTGAAATGTACCTTCTTGAACTCTTCACGGGTACATCTTCTAAACAAACTTACTGTACCATAACTTTAAGAGGTCTAAATCTAATTATTTTTCACCTCCGGGTTGTAGTAAACGTCCAGACAGTTTATCAGTAAAAACAAAAGCGGGCAGGACCTTAGAATATGACATTGTGTTTTTGCAACAATGAAAACTAGCGGTGCCTCGTACTGTATATCAATGAGCTTCTTACGATCAATATCCGTCCAGGTACCTCACGCTGCTTCTCGGTTGTGGTTAGATCAGAATCGCTTCTTTACTCAGTGTCCGTCGTGAAGCTTGAGATGAACCCAAACTCACTAGAACTAGTATATCTGATCAACTCATCACCTCTGACCACAACATTGAAGCGTGGAGGCCCTCGCTAACATATCGCATCTACTCATCGCCATAGAGGCTCGAGAGCGCTTTTCCTATCATTTCCAGTCGGAGCAGAGCCAAACTCAGACCAGATCAAATAAGATCACTGTGTAGATTTAGGAGGAACACATTCACACACTCAAACATACCACATGTACTCACACAAACACTCGTCTAACACGCTCGCACCATTCAAACGCCATTCAAACTGTGAGCGCGAAGAACATCCGGGTCGCCTTTAAAGCTAAATGCCGCAAGGAATCATGGGACATTGAAAGTAGCATGTGTTTGTGAGCATAGTGACCTCATGTGGCCATTAATGGAAAATACATTTCCTCATTTTTGTCTGTTTCTTACATTAAACGAGCAAGTCTATGAACACAACTGTGGAATATACATATAAAACTGCCATTGTCATTTGATCTATCAACATCTTTCAATCAGCCATTTGTGAGGAAAATCACCTGAATCATTGTAAATACCTTCTGAATTTAAGGTTTTAAATATACAGTGGCTTAAGAAACACAAATGTGAACCATTCATGTTTTGAAAGAATAAACTGGTGATATTTTTACACACACTTAAACTCAAACACATACACTTTTCTCCTACTATTAATTGCAGTGCAGAATGTTTTGTATGTTCTGTGTTTTTTTTATCCTGAGTCGGTTTAATCCATTTGTTTGTTTAGTTGGTTCGAGCCTTAAAGGCCTACAAGTAAACAGGACTTTTATTAAGCATTAGCTGGAAACCTTATATACATTGCATTGTTAGTGCCTGCATTATAACATTCACATACAATTAAATAAACAAACAAATAAATGATAAAGATTGTGCCACGTCATTTCAGTTATAGAGCTGATCAGAAACCACACAATAGCTACTGTAACCTAGATTGTCTGCTGACAAGGCATTGTGACCTGAAACCGAGTTTTAGAAATGTTGATTAAGCACATTTAGAATAATTTCCATCTCAATGTAAAGTATTGAGTAAAGTATCCATCTCAATGTAAAGTATCTATCCCAATGTAAAGTATAACTAACCGAGTTTAAATACAGCAAATACAATGCCAAAAACGACTCATTGCAAATGATGTGTTTACTTTGAATATCTCTAATAGAGAACTATTATTGAGTGAAAAATATGCTTCACCAAACAACATGTTGTTTGAGTTTACTTGTTATAGTGCCGTGTTAGATTGGTTTTAAGCTGCACTTACGTCTGCAGCAGCCACCTAATCTAGCATGCTATTCCCTGTGGGGGTTGTGCAGTAATCTTGAAAGCGTAATAAGATTTTAGTGGACAGTAACACTTTTGTCTAGAGCTAGGTGGCACATTCATTCTGAGGAGCCCTCATCAACAATTCTTGGATTCAGCAAAGAAACAGACAGCAGATAGACGATGTGAGGAGATGTGATTCTTTTTAACAATGGACTAAGAAACACCGTTACTGCACAGAAACAGTGCACTTACCACTTCCTTCCATGGCGTCAACTCCAAAAAAAGTGAGTTGTTTTATCTCACTTTAGTTGTATCTGGTTAAGAAGTGGCCAACGCCTGGTGGCCATCTGTCAGAGGTTTAGTTTACTTCTGTCAGACTGTTACTGTATTTACAGTTGTTTCTTTTCAATTCTATGACCAATACACTAATATCCCTCTTTATATTATGTAGAATCATGTTACAGAATCATTCATTTATGAATCGCTTTAGGAGAATCAGGCAAGCATCAAAAGTGTTTCTATCCATCCTACATTGATTCTTAAATTATTAACCTTACGCAGAAATACTGCTGACACCATATGCTGCATGTAGACGTGACTTATCTTTGTCACAATGAAAAACATTAGTTCTTTCAATTGTAAGGGTTCTCATGTTACAATGCATATGAGAACAAACAACCATTTAACCAAAAGTGTAGGGTCAGCTGTTTATAGCATTTCAGAGCATCTGTTCTAGAGAGAAAGACAATTATGAGATTAGGTGGAGCGATTTTTCTGGAATCAATCCCAGCCCTGCAGGCTCTGACTGGAACAATGGCGTGCAGCAGGTCAGACGCCCGTCAGGTTATCTGTCAGCTCTAAACTCTCTGCTGGAGCCTGAGGAGGGACAGGATCTGGAGGCTTAAAAGTCTCTGACAGGAACATAACAAGACACAAACAGTATTGGGCTCCTGGAAGCCCAGAAACAGAGCTCAGTGATCTTATGGTGAGCTGTGAGGCAGTTTATTAAAGAAGCATGCTTGACTTACAGCAGCATCTACCATCTGTTACTCCCTCTCCTCCTGAATATCTGATTTCAGCGGGTGTGGCAAAGGTTTCTGTCTGGTCGAGTTACAGGCATACCAAGTGTTCATCTTGTGTTCCTAGGTGTAAATACATGCAGATCCTTACATCATTTTCTTTTTTGAATGAATGGGATCCCAACGTTGGTCCTGTTTTGATCGCTGTCTGACAAAGCTGTTACATCAGTTTGCTGCAAGTCAACACAGATCACCTGCTGAGGCGTGCTGCCTCAACAGGCCCTGTCCGTTCACCATATTACAGTATTTAATTGAACCCCAAATCTAATCATTTATGAAATAAAAAAGTATAATTAATGGTAACATGTTTGGCTCAGCTAGTAACAATAGAATACTTGAACTAGATACTAACAGAATGTCTCTTCATTTTTTATTTCACCCTTTTAAACCTACAGAAACCAGGATATGGAAATCACAAGAAAGGTATTTATCACACAAAAGCTGAACGTAAATGGAAATAGTATTCTAAAACAGTTGATTATACTGATGATTAGAATATTTGATTGATAGAAAGGGTCACATGCTTACAATCTTATATTTAAATGCTTAAGCTATGAGATGTATCAAGTAGATGAATCAATGCATTTGAATGATTGACTGATCTATAATCATCTGTTTGATGAATACATTAGGAATGATTTGATATAATTATCTTATACCTACTTGACATACATTTTATTTAAATGCTGTTCACTCAATTCACAATTATATTTGTAAATACTTTGTGGTTAAAATCTTAAATTAACAACGTCAATGATGCAGTAGTTTTAAACATTTGTCTACTGATCCATGTCAAGACTTCTCAGAAGGAGTGTTCAGATCTGAGGAGGTACAAGTAAAAGGAAGAGATACAGTATGAGTTGTTTTGTGTTCCTTAGAGGCGTCTGTTGGCCGCCAGCGTCTGTCCCGTCAGTCCACAGCAGACGGCAGCGGGGACGAGGCCCTCCAGCCCCGCAGACTGAACGGCTCCCCAGTGTTGGTGCCGAGCTACCAGAACCTGCACCGGGAGCTGATGCTCAGCCATAAACGGTACAGGAGGTCCAGCTCATAAAAACAACAACATACCCGTCTGAGCTTAAAGGTCCCCTATTATACTGTTTTTCATCAATATAATATAGGTCTCAGATATATACAAAACCTGTCTCCAAATACCAAACAGATCATTGTAGCATCCCATAATCCCCTCTGTTTCAGCCCTGTTCCAAAAGTGCTGTTACTTTAGATGAAAATAAGGAGCCCCTCCCCACGCCCCTCTGAGAGAGATTTGGTTAAAAAGAACACAAAGGTGCTCTATGAGGATATTCAGGAGATTCAGGAGATAAGGTGGGCGGGTGTTACCTTGGTTGGTGATTGGCTAATTGTTACACAAGCGAGCCAACAAATCGTTATGACATCATAAAGTGGCCAAAATCTGATCAGCTCATTTTCAGACAGGTTTTTATATAAATGGATCAGGACAAAAAGAGAGCGAATCTTTTTTCCTGAAACTTTCAGAATCTCTTTCCACAGAGGGGACACATTTTGGATTTTGCATAATAGGTGACCTTTAATGTGGTCAACATTTGAAGCAGAGCATGTTGGACTGTGTGTGTAACTGTGATTGACTGACCCTGAAGGGGCCTGTTTCCTGAGGAGAGACCAGAGCTGAAGCGAGTGCTGGAGCAGCGCAGACTGGAGCTGCACAAGGAGGAGGAGCTGGCCAAACAGCGGCCCTCAGATCTGGAGACAGAGCTCCGCAAGAGGCAGCAGAAGATGCGAGAGGTAAACAGAAGCACATAACAAACAGCTGAGAGACAATAAAGGAGTCATAAAGTACAAATACATTCACTTTGGCCAACTCATACAGGGGCAGTTTTTAGTGTTAAAACAAGGGATTTTCAGGGTCAATACCAGCAGTTAGTCTGCTCTAAAACATAGGCCTACTGCACTGAAATCAAATGTTGAGGTATTTAACTTGAGTATTTACTTTTTCTGCTACTTGAAACTCCCACTTCATTCAATTTCATAGGGAAATAGCCAATCATGCTTAATACTACATTTAATTTATATGACGGGGTAAGGTGTTCATTTTTAAATGTAGATCTAACATTTAAAGAAAAACATATGGTTAGCCTAAAAATACAATGCATTGTTGTATATTAAACCAGTTTTTCCCAAACATATTAGCTTGTGGCCCATTATTAAAAAAAAAGCTACAACAATAAACCCATAACAATAGGTGCAATCCCAAGGTTTAAAAACAACTAACCACATTTTTAGGCCAAATCTGACCTTGTTATTTTCCAAAAATATTGAATTCTTGGTGATTGAAATGTTGTTTCTGGTGTTGGTCTGGACTAGGATGAGGTGCATGACACTGACTTTTCTTTTGTCTTTCCAGTATGAGCAGGAGGAGATCAGGCAGCGGGAAAACCAGCAGACGATCCCGGAGTTTGTCCGTGTGAAGGACAACCTGAGGCGGACACAGACGTGAGGCCCCGAGCCTCCCATCAGCCCCTGAAGTATTTCACCATAGTGGCCCAATTCACATTGTCACTGAGTGTGAAAACAAACAAACAAAAGCATCACAGGCATCATGTCATTACACATGTCTTAGAGAATTACATCTAAACATATTATAATTAATAAGGATCATGCAGGAAACATGTTTATTTCCAAAAAGCAAAGCCATGTCAAGAAAAAGACAGGTTGCAGCATTTTAACTCTATTTTTGTCAGGGGTCTTTGTGCGACCCGTTTAACTTTGTTACAGTTCAATTGCGGATGAGGGAGTGAAAGTACTTATTTTGTATTTCTAATTATGTGGATCAACAATTGTTGAGGACCAGAAGATGGATATTTGTTATGTTTTTTTATGGTGATTTACCTATTATATTGTTCAACTTCTCATACTTCCTCTTGGATTAACGTTTGTTTAGAGTACGGATCACATCTTTTTAATTCCATTTACTTTTTGTAAGATCACTATACAATTGTTAACAGAGACAGTTCTCAGCAGAACCGTTTTCTATTCATAGAAATCCCCTACAATGTGCATGTTTGTGTATCTGTTTCTGTCATGACTTCTGGATCTTCGTGTGTCCATGTGCTGTGGAAATAAAATACTTTATGGTTTGCAGAGATGTGTTGTTTTGTTACAATTCAAAGCAGTGGCGATTGATTTGCATGCATCTCTTCTCCCTGAGGACTCTCGCGCTTCTTTCACATGGATATTGGACTTTGTTTAATTAGCTGATCTTTTCATTCCATCACGGGACGAGAGGAGAGAGCTCAGGCCATCTGGAGGAGCCTTTTCAGGATATAGAGGAATACCCAAGGGCCTGGTAAAGGAACTGGAAACATTTGGGATAGTCAGGGAAGCCACCGGCTATAGGCAAATGTCAGAATTACATTTAGACTTTATACATAATCAGTGGGAAAAAGAGGTAATCAGATCTTAATTTAAATAAGGAAACTTTACTTGTAAAGAATATAAAAGAAAAAAGTACACAATAGGTTTGTTATTATTATCTACACCATTTAATATTATGAGATTATTAATACTAATACATTAAGCTCTAATGCCATGGAATAAACCTCCCTAAATGTCACCGTACTTTTAGAAATTAGCCATGTTAAAAATAAAATAAAAACCCAAATGTACAAAATAGCATTGTTTAATATGTCCTTTCATTTTCTCTTTTTGTGGTCGTTCTTTTACATTATGTGTTGTCTCTATTTGTGACATCTTGAGAACCCTGTTGTGTTTACGTTTTCTGTGTATGATTTTCACTTAAATCTATATGGCGTTGTTATCTGTTAGGCTACTTCTAACTAAGATTTTGAAAGGCATTTAGAATAGAATGTATTATTATTAAAAAGTCTGATATTCTGCAGCAAAGCATATCTCTGTTACTTTGCAGATTATATAATGTCTAAGATATTTTATGAGCAGATACAATATTATATGCTATAAATGTCGTTTTGATTATCCCCTCCTGAACCAGCAACTACCTTTAAATGCTCCTTACAGATTAATAGTAAAAGCATGATCCTATTTAGCTTTGAGTCTGGATGGTGGTGCTTTAACCACATTTGATACTCTGACCTGAGGGGTCTCGGAGCAGAATAAGGGGTTAAGAGTTATTTAATGTAAAGCGGAGCAAGACCATGTAGGGATTTAAAATAAATCACTAGGGTTTTGATCTACACATCATTATTGATCATTAATAAGGGACTTTATTGGTCATTTAATTTATTTGTTTGATTGTATTTTCCCAGTCAATATGTATGTGGTAGCCTACTACTATTGTTATTGAGTTGAATTAAATGTGGGCCTGACTATTTATATTGTGAGTAAAGTGAGAATCAATTAACAACAGTCATGTATTTGTAGGTTAAGCTATAGCAGTTTATAAAGTAGGTCTAATTAACATTCAATTGATGGAAACATTCATTTCTAAATGTTATTCAAATACGTAGGGTATAACATAGCCTTTGATTCTGGAAAGGGGTATAGTGCATGATGACTACTTTTACGTTTGACTTTCATCTTGGCAAAAACAACAAAATGTATTTGTTTTCATCATCATCATGGCGGAATGTCGGGGTGAGTATGGTCTTGTTTTTACCACCACTACTTACTCACCAGCTGTCCTGGCTTTTACCAAAACTTGTCTCTCCCCCCGGCCATTCTTCTTTTGTGCCTCTTTCCAAAGTAAAAGCCCCCTCAGTGGGTCGCGTGCTGTGTCAATATAAGCAGAGCGTGTCTGGAGAGTTAGCAGCGTCGGACCAAACCATTTATGAAGAGTCTGGGGAGATCACCGGTACATGTTAATGTTCATTTCCTAGTTAGAAACTTATTTAAATGAAATAAAAATAAATTATGAGAGAGTACATAGAGTTTATAAGACAATGTAAAGGAAAAATAAGTTTACTTGTGTGTCAAAAAAGAAGTCATAGCAAATGTATTTTACATGGTTCCCCCGTCACTGAGACAGTGGTGTTGACTGAAACAGATGTCCCAAGCGTCGCTTTCACATCTGAGCAGCAGAGAAAGTCTGAACACAGCGGAGAGGATGCTATAGAGGAGAAGATAATAAACTCAAGGTGAGTACACAATACTTTAAATAGGTTAACAACATGATATATAATGGGAGCATTACTGCAACCAGCATTAAGCTAGGATGAAGTGTGTGATGGATGTGTTAATGTTACAAATCGGTAAACGTTTTTGTAACTCTATAGAGCCAATAGCCTACATTAATTTGCTATTTGTGCTGCATTATATGAGTCTTTAAACATATGATTAATATTATTAAGATAAGGGTGACTCTTATTCAGTGTTGTAAAGTAACTAAAGTGCATTTGTACAAGTCATGTACTTCATTATATGAGTTAACGTTGAGTATTTAATGTTTCTATTACTTTGTACTCCTACATCACTACAATGTACTCTCTTTCTAACTGAATTTAAAAATACCAGTCACTTTGCAGACTTAACATTCAAAATTCTGAAAATATAATGCATATTCTGTTGATATTTAAAGTAGTCCTAATGTGTGTTTATTATAGTATGTACTTTAAATTAAGTGCACTTTTACACAGGATTTTAAATGGACAATTCAATAACGTGATAGCCTTTTTTTACTTAGTAAAGTAGTAGTTTCAGTCTTAGTAAAGTAACCAGAAGATCCAAAAGGGATCTGACTTCTTCATTAAAAAATGCAATTAAATATAAATCAGTTCCTATACTTGGAAGGGAGGTTGAGTCTCTGCAGTGTAGTAACTTGTCTGTGTATTGTACCATATATGCACATGTGCTTTCACTGATTAACAACTCTAATGTAATTGTGGCAGCAGGCTGGTTGCTGGCAGTTGTTTGTGCCCACTGCAATAAACACAATCTCCATCAGTCCACATGTTGACAGACATGCAGTGCTACTGTGGTGTTATAGACAACACCTCTGTGTGGTTTTGCCCCCGCAGTCCCCCTTTTCATTTTGTAAACGGTGGGTACTTGTGGGTGAAAAGCTGTAACCACATCCTGCCACAACAGCCTGAGATGACCACCAGTGGCCTTTCAGAGGCCTCAGAAATGATGACTCAGAGGGACAAGGTGTCATGATCCCTGGGCAGCCCTTCAGCCTCTAGGGAACAATGGAGCATCTCTTCTTGCGCTCTGTATTTACGCTGTCGTTTGGCTGGGACAGAGCTGGTATGTCTGGCCAGCATATGGCCTCCAGTGACTGAGCGCAGGCCGGTATGGTGCTTATTACCCCTGCATTGTCTCTGCTGGAAAACGAAGACCCCTGCACTTCTTAACAGTATTGTTCTGACAAAGAAAATAACCTGACAGTGTCGCTGTCTTTGATACAGACTACTCAAAATAACCGTGGCTTTTTATGCTATCTCTGCATGTTGACACCATTGGTGGAAGAACACTTTGATCTTTTACTTTGGTATGGTAAAAACTACAGTCGTATATTAGTATATATACTATTGGATTGCATTATAAGTGTGATGCATTCATGTGTTTAATGCTGCAGCTGGTAAATATACTATACTACCTCATGAAATACATCATCATGTATTAGTTTAGTTTGTTATACTTTGTATCAATAATCTAAAACTACAACTTTTGAAATAAATGTAGTGCAGTTAAAGGGACAGTATTTGCTTTCAAAATGTAGTAGAGCAGAAGCACGTAATGGAAAGTAAGTTCAAAACATAAGTTAAGTTCAAAACATGCGTAAATGCACTCAGTTACTTTCCACCACTGTTTGCTGCCGTCTGTGCAGTTTTACACTCAGTGACAAAGATCTGACTCCAGTGTTCCAACAAAACACTTTCTTTTTTTTGTCCTCCTGCCGGTCTCCCACATTGATGCACTTTTCTTCCAGCAGCCCATATTGTGTGCAGAGTGGATCCATTTTGCTGAATGGATTTTGGCTTTTCGTCAGACTCTGAAATAAGGCATGCTGTAAAGTCGTTAGGTTTCTTCCATGGTATCAGCACTCAGTGGAGAGTCTTAATTACAGGGTTTGAACAGGCCTCGGTCTGGTTTCAGGCATCCCTCACTGTTCCCCCCGGCGAGGCTGCATGGTCCCCATTGGTAATTCCAGGGCCGACCACAGTGGTAATGAGCGCGGCGGTGGTGGCAGCATTCCAGGAGATCGCAGCTCCAAAGGCTCATGGGAAAGGGTGGTGGGGGGAAGTCTGGGAGACAGTGAATCCACATCATGATCTCTTGCCATAAACACCCACTTCCGTAGATGATACACGGTCACGGTCTGATGAGTGGCGAGGATGGGAGGGATGGTCCGCTCCCTGACACGGTTCTAGATAGACTTAATTAGTGATGATCACATGCCCCGCAATCAAGATATTTTGACTACATCAATCAAGCCGGGTGGAGACTGTGCTATCAGCAGCTATCCCTCCAGGAAATGGCCTGCTATTCCTGTTACGCTCAATCAAGAAAAGTATTGTTTTTTTGGCTCTCATAGAGCACTCCCTCAAGCTTGTATGTAAGCTATGACAAATGGCATCAACATCTTGGCAATAAGCTGCAACTTCTGGTGAGATCTGCTGTTTTAGTGAGATCTGCTGATTTTCCCAAAAGCACCCACCCACTCACACAGCCTAGACCTCCGACCACAGACTCTTGTGAAAGTCTTCAGAGAGTTATGGGGTGTAGGTGGGTAAATCCTGCAGTACCCTGCCTGTCTCTGATTACCAGGCTGGATTCCTGTTGACGTCTTTAGTTTGAGAACGCTGCAGCATGGAGACATGTGTGTGAACGTGCAGCAGACCTTGCACAGTAAAAACTCAGCACTGTTCCTTTCCCCATCTCTCACTGCTGCCTTGTCTCAATATTGGCCCCACAACGAGTCGTCAGCAGATATGGTGCCCACAGCAGATTATTGAGACTGGTCGGTGGATACAGGGCCTTTGTTGCAGTGTTGTTGTACTGACTCGAGCAGCCTGTGCCTCATTGTACTTTACAGCTGCTCATAGCTGCGTCAGTTCACATGAGTTGCGATGGTGAATGGGTCAGGCCGCTGAGATCCACAATAATATCCTGTCCACCTCCGTGTCCTCCTGGTCCCTACAGGAAGGCCTGATACCAATCTCCAA